GCATGCCAAAAGGCTGGCCAAAAGCCAAGTCACCAATGACATCAAAGGCAAGGTAGTTGAACCAGTTCAGTGCATCCATGTTATACCATCCTCCGTTGTTCTTGGCACCATCAGCTCTGCGATCCCACTGGTTTTGCAATTCCTCCAAGTTGTGGTGGATATACTGTTCGAACTCGAGCACATTTTTGGCAGAAAAAGTGTGAGCGACCGTCTTCCTCTTCCTGGTGTGCTCGGCACGATCCCGAGTGTTGAACAGTCCTCTCCTAATGGATACGAAAGCGTCATAGTACTCGCTCTTCAAGAAGCCGTTGCCATGGCCGTAGACTTGGGTAATGGCGTCTGCATCAGCAATGCTGACATGATGAGGCTGAATGCGAACAAGCTTTCCAAGCTTTTTGTGTGCTTCGTGAACGGCAAGGAAGCGCTTTCCACGGCGGCACTGGTAAAGTAGCCAGAGGTTGGTCCAAGCGGCCGGGAATGGCGCCGGTATGTCGCGGATTTGCCAGTTCCGAAGGTATGGGAGAAGGTAGAAGAGAACCGGCAGAAGAAGGATGGTATAAGGCGTTAAGAGAAGTGATGTTAGAAACATTATTGCCAACGAGAGTGAGGGTTCGCAAGCAGTGTAAGGTCAAGGGACAACCGTCCGCTAGTCGTTTATAACCTTGAGCCTAGGCGTCTTTACTCGTGGAGCAATGCTGTGCAAACAAAGAAATTCCACTGCTCTTCTTGGTTGGGTCTGGACGTGGACTCGGCCATCCTTATACTTTCCCGCCCGTGCCTCTCCATGGGCGTAATCTCCCCGTCAAGCAGGCCTGCGGGGCTTCGTTGTTAGCAAGTTCCGATGTCGACACGCGACGGGTAAACGTCAGACCTCAAATCTGCGGCGATATTGTTGTAAGCTTTTGTCGGCAGCCAATCACATGGTTTCAGTATCCTCTTTACACAGCCGTGTCGTGGCTCCGAAGGACGTATGAACCCGGCTCCATGACCCCGCCTTGCACTAGTGCGCCGAGTATTCCCCGCGTTTCTGTCCTCTTCATCGGGAGCCGTTGTAAGGGCCAGCCAGCAGCCGATCGCACGTGCTGCTGTCCGAGAAATATGCGCAGCAAAGACCCACAGGGTGAATGCACTGTGTGAAAGCATCAAGGAGTGACGTGCAGCCTGCTGTAGCACAAGACCACCGACCTATCCGCCGCATGTATGCGTTGTGTGACCCCAGAATCGGGAATATTGCGGAAATAGACCCGCCCTGTGTGCCGAAACGAAGCGCATATAAAATCAGCGCATGTGCATGCAAAGTCAGCTCAGCAGCGTCATCAGGTCGACTAACAAGGTGCAATGTTTCGAAGAGGGTATTAAGTACATTAAGAAATCACGACTATCTAGATGTGTGAAAACGTCTTCCAACTACAAAAGTTACTCGAGTCAGTCAGACAGGTATTAGGGCTGCCTGTGCTACTAACAGCAAAACGCCTAGTGGTATCATGCCTGCCAATCATCCATCCATCCATCCATCCATACACGCCCCTTTACCATAACCTGTGTGTATTCTCCAACAGAATGTATACTTTAGTTATTGTCTTCGTCATCCGAGAAAAAGTTCAGGATGGCCTTGACCGCCATAGGGCCCAGCCCGTGAGGCGGATAGCAGATATAACTCGGGTCGTCCGTCGCGCCCAGCTTCTCGCGAAACTCGGTCTTGTTGGTGAGCTTGAGCTCAGTTGCAATCGCGTGGTATGCGCGGCTGAGGACCTTGACACGTGTGCCCTTGACATTGTGTCCAGGACTGAACTTGGAGCTGGCACCACCGCCAAAGGTGACGCTTGTAGCGCCGCTTGCTGCGACCTGCTTGAGAGCATGTGTGACGACTTGCTCAATGGAGCCACTGGGTGCGCCAGGGAAGTCCAGAGAGTACTTGACTTGCCAACCGTGGTCTGGCGACAGCTGGGCCATGGTGACAAAAGCAACAATGGTACCATCTGGTGCAGTTGCAACGTGATACTGGCGATGCTCCTCGTCTTGCCATGGGTGAATGTTTGTCAGGTGAACCTGCTTGCCCTTGCGATTCTTCAGCCAATCCTCAACACGAGCATCGACCTTTTGCTTGACATCTGGTGGTGGTGGCGAGCCCAGAGCATAGTCGGTAATCTTAATACCCTCTTTCTCCGCATGGCGAATCTTGCGCTGCACATCAGAGTCCTTGTCGGCAGGGTTGTGTGCAGGGTCGACGCGCTGCTCTCCAGTGACGGAGAATGTGCGCCAGTTGAACTTTGTTGCCAGAACCTCCTCGGCTGCCGATCCTACAAGCAGCCAAAGCGGCTTAAGGTTGCGCTCCTTCTTGATATATCGGAGATAGCCAGACATGGTCTTGAGGTACTGGGATTCGTGGCACAGAGGATCGCCAACAGTGATAGCGAAGCCATCCTGAGGCACGAAACCAACAGCCGCACCAGTGTTTTCGTCTCGCCAGATCTCTGTGCGGGGCTCCAACCACGATGTATTTGTGGCATCTCCGTAGTTGGCGATGAGCTTCTCGATGGGTTGAAAGTCAATCTTTGCGACAGCACGGTCTTGTCCCTCCCACGGAGGGTGCATCGTGCTTGCCTCTGGGTGACGTAGCTGCTTGACGACTGGCTTCTCTGGCAAACTCTTTGGATCGCGAGGGAACATGGAAGCATGGCGAATGTTTCCAAGACCCATCATCAACATGAGGATACGCTCGAGACCAATACCGCCACCACCGTGGGGTGGTGCACCCCACTGGAAGGCCTGGATATACTCTTCCATGGAACTGGGGTCAATCTTGAGCCTGCGCATCTTGTCCAGTAGCATATCAGCGTCGTGGATACGCTGACCACCACTGAGAATTTCTTGACCTCGACAGAAAATGTCGAATGAATTCGTGAGTTTGGGGTTGTTTGGATCGTTCATGGCATAAAAGGGTCGAGCGTTTGCTGGGAACTTGTCCAAGACGTAGTAGTCAGTGCCTAGCTTCTGCTTGATAACACGACCAAGCTGGACCTCGTCCCTGGTTCCCAAGTCTTCATTCTCGTCAAGCTCGTTTCCATCGTCATCCCTCCAACCAGACTCATTCAACATACGAACACCTTCGGCGAATGGGATGATGGGGGTTTCATCAAGCCAGACCAAGTCCTCGTGTGGGAAGTGCTTTTTTATGACCTCAATCTCAGGGCGATACTGCTCATAAATACCCTTGAAGATGGCCTTGAACGTGCGATCCAGCACACGCAAGACTTCATGGTAGTGTTCATCAATCTGCATCTCGAGATCGAGACCGGTGTATTCAGTCAAGTGTCGGTAGGTATTACTGTTCTCAGCACGGAACACGGCGCCAATTTCGTACACCCTGCCAAAATCTGCAGAGATGGCCATTTGCTTGGCCAATTGGGGGCTCTGGGCCAGGAAAGCGCCACGGCCGAAATAGTCAATCTTGAAGACACTGGCGCCAGACTCGGTTGCACCACCTTGCAGCTTGGGGGTGTGGATTTCGATGAAACCCTCCGAGTCCAAGTGGTCGCGGAACAGCCTGCAAATTCCAGACTGAATGCGGAAAATGCCCTGTGATGCAGTTGTCCTGAGGTCGATTACGCGGTTGTTGAGACGAGTGCGGTCAGCAATCTTGACTCGGGTATGTCCCTCCTTGCGTTCCTCCCCGGCCAGCTTGGCGGCTTCAGCGTCGACCTCCGCCTGAGATACTTCGGCTTCGTTAACGTTGAAGGGAAGGTGGTCTGTAACTGAGGCTTCGACGTGCAAAGCGTGGACCGAAATCTCGACGTCGTGGATGGTGGCACCAAGGACCTCGCCCTGCTTGGCCTTGGGTTCTTGAAGAATACCTTTGACAATGACCACCGTCTCTGCGTCGAGATGCTCTGCCCAGTACAGCATGTATTTGGAAATATCTGCGTGCTCCATAAGAACGCCCTGAATGGTAGCGAGCTGCTGGCGGAACATGAGGAAGACAAACTTGGAGCTCATCTTTCTCAGGTGGTGGATGCGGGCACGGAAGACGACTTCCTTGCCAACATCCTTTGCAGAGAAGTCCTGGATCTTGTGGCGAGGCTCGTGTTTCCATTCGCCGGCGTAGCTGTTGGGAGGGATGACACCGTACTTGGCCCTCTGCTCGGGCGTGAGCTCAGCAAGAGCCTGTTGCTCCATCTCCTTCCTACGGCGCTCGAGCTCCATCTCCTTCTCGCGGTTCTGCTTGTAGCGCTCTTCTTGCTGGGCCTGTTTCTCATGCTTGCGCAGCTGTCCGCGGGACATGGGCTCGCCATCGCGGTTGAGGGGCGTATCGTCGTCACTGGAGTCGTTGCCAATGTGGAGCTTCTCCTTGACGGCGCGCATAGGGCTGCTAGCAGAGAGGGAGCTTGAGCGCTGGTGGGAGTTTGCCTTTGCGGATGAGCGGTTGGGGCTATCTGTGTGGCGGTGGAGGATGCCGCTCAGGGAACCACGGTGCTGCCCGTCGAGGCTGCTCCTGCTCTCGGTAGGCGAGGAAGGGTCGTTGCGCTTCAGGTCGGCACTGGCGCGGCCAGTGGGCAGAGTGACGGAAGAGCGCGGAGTGCTGGCGGGTGAGCGTGCTCTGCCATTGGTGTTGGGCGACTTGACGCCGCTCTTGTCGTCGTCGGAGGCAGAACCGCTATGGCCCGGCTTGAGTTTGTCTAGCGCTTTCTTGAGAGAGCCCATTGTTGCAATGGTGCGAGAGCTGTGCCCGTTGTGCGTGGTTAGACTACCTAGGCGCAGAGTGGGGCAAGCCGACGCGGGGGAGATGCTTGGAGAGCAGAGAGCAGGCGGGAGGAGCGACCTGGGGCGTTGAGAGAAAAAAAGGAACAACTGAAGTCGAAGAGCTAGTAGCAGGCGGCAGAGCAGATGCGAAGTTCAAGTATAGCAGCTAGCCGGCCTATGGCGTGACGGGCACGGAAGGCGGAGGGTGAATCGGCTATGACGTGAGAGCGTACGGGCAGCAACACAACAGACTAGCTGTGCTAGGTTCGTCCGGCCCTAGCGCGGCAGAGGCTTAGGACCGATCCGAGGGAAGGCGCAACCCTTGCGCAAGCGTGACGTAGCCGGCACGCTTCTAGACTGCTAGACTGCACCTCTTGTCTGTGTGGAGTAAGAGTGTCGAGTATCCAGAGTTGCACCCACGAGCCCGCGGACTCGAATGACAGCAGGCGTACGTGCGGAACGGAGAGCTGCTGGCAACAAGAACTGGCGACATGGTGGAGTAATAACGCCCGCCAGAAAGCCCCAGGCCACCAGTGTCTTCCGCGACTGTCCGCTGCTACTGCTGCCACAGCTGACACATCTTCCCCATGCGTCCATTGTGCTTCTCCTTGTGGCCAGGCGTGTGCTGACAAGCATTGCTTCGTTGCTTGGAAAACTCTTCGGTCGGGCCTCGACACCCCACTCCAGCCATGCCCCTGCGCCTGCGCCTGCACCAGTCGGATGAGCTGGCTGTACATGTCCATGTAGACATCGTCCATGTAGCCAGGCCGTACAGGATGACGAGCGTCAATGTCTGTCTGTGTCTGCACTTGCCGCCGGGTGAAACCGGCCCTAGTGGCCGTGGTTGGTCGCTTCCTCCCAACTCCCTGCTCATGCACTTTGTCGCCCGCCCCATGGCATTCTCTCCTAAATCCATCCTCCTCGCCCAAACACCCGCCAACACTCAGCCTTCACCTATCCCCTATCATGCACATGGCACAGAAAACCGGTTCCCTTGCGCCGCTGCATCACATGGCAATCGCCAGCGCATACCAGAATCCCGATCAGCCACAAGCTAGCCTACATCGACGATCGTCGTGCTAGAGAACAGGTTCTGCCAGGCACACTGCGTCCCTGGGCATCGCCCTCCAACCGTGCAATCACCCACAGCTCTGCCGGTACCCGCTCTTTTGCCCCCTAACCACCACTCTACTCGGCACATGGCTTTGTCGATATCATGGGCTACTGCACGCCGTGTCAAGCATAAATCATCAATTGCCTCTTAGTTGCGAGCCGCTACTATGCATCAGCTAAACCTATCAAAGACAGCCTCCGTATATGTGCCTGCATTCACAGAGCATATTAATCAAGTATACCAAGTAGGCTCTGGAATCTCGTCCAACAGTGCAAACCGTCCCAATTCCCGATTCTTATATGCGACAGGATCGTGTAGCGTGTGCGTCCTGATATCTCGCCAGAATCGATCCAAGCCCACCTTTTGGCTCGTCGCCTTTGCTCCGGTAACTTCAAACACTCCCGAAGTAACGCGGAGACCAGTGTCTGTTGCGACCACTTTGATGCTTGCCACCCATTCTGCCAGCTCGCCTCTCTCGCGTGCCGTCAGCTTTGCACGCCTGTCCAAATCACCTCCGTAGTTCTGGTAAATAGCGTCGACTTCTTGGCCTGCGCGGTCTGCAAGGGCAGAGGCGGCACGGAGATGGGCATGGAAATTGCCATAGCGTTCGAGAATGTAGAATTCATCCGTCGCCTTTTCCTTGTTCTGCTCGCGCCATTAGCAACACATGTCAGACTTTGTAGGTACTGGTGTGCTTACGTCGCCGCCAAAAGGCCATGCCCGAGTCCCTTTCAAAGTGTACTTGGCAGCGTATTGCTGTGCACCAAGAGCAATGCCAAGATAGAAGTTACTAAAGACAAGCTGGATGGTTGGGAGAAGCAGTGTTGCAAACGGTATCTGCAGCGCGCGTGGGTCGGGTTCCTTCTTCTCAATGTTCCAGCCCAGCGCATCCGCCCACGGCACACGTACGTCAGAGATCTTGACACTGCCAGATTCCGTCAAACGGAGGCCAATGTTGTTCCAGTCATGTCCGAATTGGATGCCAGGTTGGTCTGTCTTTGCAAAGGCGAAGATGTGGTTCCCAGTGTTTTCGTAGACACCCTCAAGAACAGTAAGGTCAGAAACAACGCCACCCGTGTTGAAGAACTTGAACCCATTGAAGACAATGTTGTCGCCATCGGATTTGATGGAAAGATCACTGTCTCTAGGATTAACGGCGCCGCCAATGAAATAGTTGTTCTCGATGATGAGCTTCTGGATGCGATCGGCCTGTTCAGCTGAACCGACAACGTTTGCTGTGGTCGACCAGAGAAGGTGGTAGCCAAGCAGCATGCCAATTGAGCTACGTCAGTTAGTACGCATATTCAAACATATCAAGTAAAACCATACCCATCTGCTTCAGCTACCTTCCTAATCGCTTTGTAACCTTATTCCAAGTCAGTATCGGCTGCTGGTATATCAGATACATGAACTTGCCAACACTCCAAGGTTGACCACCACCACCGTACTGCTTTGGGCCCAGAATTTTGAGAAGTCCAGAGTGCTTGAGCAGAGCTACTTCGGCTCGGGGAGACTTGTTTTCTTGGTCTCGCACAACAGCATCAGTAGCAAGAACGTCGGCGACTGCTTGGGCACGTTCAAGCCAGCCCGCTTCATCTTGCGGAATCGACGACCATGTCTTCTCATACTCGGCATACACAGCCGGGTCTCTAAAGTCGACGTGTTGCGCGTTACCCGCCTGGCCGTTAGTTCCGTTAGTCCCGTTAGTGGCAACCATCGTGTGCGTCTGAGTTGTTGATATCTTCTAGCTACGTGGTGTACAATCTCTACATTCCCGTACATATCTTTATATGCATATTCTTGCTGACACGATTTTGGGATCATACCATATCCCAAACGTATTGCGTGCTATCCTCTCATTTTTTTTTAGACATATGCGGGGGCATGATTCGCTCAATGAGCGGGGCATGGTGGTTATCAGAATGGAGGGGTGTAGACAAGGATGTCCCGCCGAGCTTGTACATGCGTCCAGATCAGGGTTGAATTGTCTGCCGGTACGCAAATGGAGCTAGCGTAGCTTTGATCCCGTAGGGTAGATCGTCAATGTTCTAACACTCCAACATGTGGGCATGGTATTCGGATGCCGATCTTCGCAGCGACGGACAGATGCATCCTTGTATTTGTGCTAACCTAAATGTAGACTGTAACCCCGATAATTAAACTCACCACCGACCCCGAACCGCGTTCGCCATCTAACCCCTCAATCGCATCATCCTCAACCGAGCTTTCCCACAGGCCATCAGTCTCCGAAAAGCTGCACGTCTCCAACGTGCCTCACATTACCCCAACGTGGGGGGTGGTGCTGCTAGCCGCCTACTCCGTCTTCCTGCTCTTCGCGAAGAACCTTGAAGTGTCTCCAAGTGGTAGCTCAACAATCGAGTCCTTTAGCAACAGGGCGAACTCCAGGTACCATCCTATGAAATGGTGTACAAAGTCAGTGTACGACTCATGCAATTAACCGACAACAGGTGCTTACCGGCCAACCCGGACAGAAAGCAGAAAGCCCCACCACCCTTCTTGAGAGCGACTGAGGCACCGGCATGCCCATCTGCTACAGCGAAATAGGATGCAGCGATCAAGAGGAATCCCAGCTCCACAGTAAAGAAGATGATGATGTATACCAAGTTTGTCGGCAATGATGCTACCAGGAACACCAACGCAAAAACCGTCCACACTATTTCTTGTTAGCGGCGCCGTCGCTTCTTGACCGTCTTGAGTAACTGACTGATCATGAAGAATCCGAGAGCATTATTGAGTTCTTTTACGTTATCTCCATATGCCGCCACAATCCCAAAGGATGGAGTCAGGATCGCACCGTAACCGGCGTAGAACAGTCCTTGCCACGAGTCAGCCAACATTCTTTAGCAGTCGGGTAGTCCAACATACCAAAGGCACTAAATACTGTATATCCGAAGCCATTGCCTACGGAGAGCTCCCACTGTGCAGTAATCACCAGGCCTATCTTGATGTTAGCCACATCTTACAAACGCAATATATGCCAGTTACTTGCCAAAGGCGGCCGCGAAGAAGAAATTAGCTACGAAGACATTGTTCGTGGTAACTCCTCGCCATTCCATTAAACTAAACGAAAGTGCCGTCAGAGTCGTCGCAAACACCCCGATTGGAAGTGCCGTCTTCACATCTTAGCAAAATCGTGTGTCTTATGGTTAGCACCACTTACTCCAGAACCCAGTGTCTTCCGGGCGGGAGCTGATACGACAGGTGCCTCGTAGGTGACCTGCCTTTCGATATCAGTATGTCCTGAGCTTTTCAAGTCGGTTGCCGGAGAGTTAGCCATGGCTGTCTTTGTGCATGAGAGGATTCGCGTAATCTCCTGGATCCAATTGAATGCCTTTTGTACTGAACCGAATCGAGCATCAATTGATGTGGCATTAGTTTCGGAGTGCTCGACACTTGCTACCCGTGTGTATTCATCGCGACTGTTGGAGAATGAATGGCGTGATTCGGCCTTACTTGCAACACTGGGTAAGGCTGTGCATCACATTCAAATTTTCATAATCCCACGTTTCTTCGAAATGCACTATATCATCCAAGTCATTACACTATAGCATAGCGTGTACCTTGTTCGGCACTACAATCTACGACAATCACGCCTTCGGCTTTCCAGATTGTCTCATTCTTTCTAGACTTCAGGTCGTTGACATCCAACCAAAGAAGCAGTGGCTGTAAAATAGGCTATCATAGGAAATACTAGGATCCTAGAGTCAAGACGGACTGAATTGGGGCAAGATCGTCAGTGGAGAGGCGGCTATCTATGGACCGGGATTATAGTTCACCTACCTGGTCTAATCCCCCGTCAACCCCGCAGACCTCACGTATGCTTGCATATCACGCAATCTACGCTTATAATGCGCAAATTTGGTCGACAATGCTTTATTCAGGGTCAAGATAGTAGGACGTTTCGTTATAAGACCTTTCGAAATACAATTCGATTATCAAATCCGTTTTTGATAATCATTTCCACGAAACAGACATGTCGCCATCACGCAAGAGACAACGGACAGGTAACATGGACGGAACATAATAATAATAAAAATTATAACTTACAATTTCTTTGCAGAAGTCGAAAGTAGCAGTACAAACGGCACCAATGGACATGCGAATGGAGCAGAAGACAGTTTCACGCCCATAAAACAATTGGACATCAACCAGGATCCAGATCGTGTACTGTTTGCGTGAGCAGCCTCCTGTCGAAATTGAAATTTATCGCATACCCTAATCTTGGGAAATACAGATATTGGGTTCCCAACGTCTCCGGTGGTCTCGTAGTTTCCAAAATAGCCCAAAAAACCAAATGGGACCTCGCATCAAATGTGCGGTACGCCAGGACAGCCGAAGAGTATGGATTCGAGTATGCGCTCACTCAAGTCCGTTTCACGGCATCATATGGAGCAGACAATCAGCACGAGAGTGTTTCTTTTTCCCAGGCCCTATTGCACAGTACTGAACGCCTCAAACTGATTGCTGCTATACTTCCCGGCGTATGGAATCCAACTATTGCAGCAAAGCAGCTTGCGAGTATCGATAACTACAGCAACGGGCGCATTGCTGTCAACATGGTTTCGGGCTGGAACAAGAGCGAATTTGCTGCCGTCGGACAGTGGTGGCTCGAACACGCTGAGCGCTATAGACGCACCAACGAGTTCATCCGCGCACTGAAGGGTATCTGGACCGCCGATGATAATGGTTTTTCATTTGCCGGTGACTTTGTATGTTCCCCATTGCCCTCAAAACTCCAACCCTCCCACTTCACAATACCATTCTTCTTCTTCATTTTGATATTCTAACCTTTCTCCCCACAGTACCAATTCCACGACTACAAACTCGCCCCCAAACCGCTCCAAAAGCCGCACCCGGAAATCTTCCAAGGCGGCAACAGCGACGACGCGCGCCACAACGGCGCAGAGGTAAGCGACTGGTACTTCATGAACGGCAACGACCTAGACGGCTTCCGCGAGCAAATCGCCGACGTCAAGGCTCGGGCCCGAAAGTTCGGCCGCGAAGACAAAGTCCGCTTTGGCGTCAACGGCTTCGTCATCATCCGCGACACCGAAGACGAAGCTATTCGCGTCCTTAGAGAAATCCAGGGCAAAGCCGATGTCGAGGCTGTAGAGGCGTTTCGCGGTGCCGTTCAGCAGGCTGGTGCGAGCACGGCGAACAAAAAGGGTATGTGGGCGAATAGCACCCTCGAGGATTTGGTGCAGTATAATGATGGGTTTAAGACGAAGCTTATTGGGACTAAGGAGCAGATTGCTGATCGCATTTTGCTACTTAAGAGTCTGGGTGTCGATTTGGTGCTCACGGCGCATTTGCATTATGAAGAGGATATTGAGAAGTTTGGTAAGGAGGTGTTGCCGTTGGTGAGGAGGTTGGAGGCGGAGGGGAGGGGGAAAGATGTTGAGGATGAGATTAGGAGGACGGGGCATGTGTATCAGAAGGTTGTGTCGTAGTGTTGTGTTTGATTTTTTTTAGTATCAAAAGTCGCGTTGTGAGGACGTGAACAGTTTGCCTTGGTGGTACGAATTTCCAATTTCCAATTTCCAAAATGGCAATAATGATAACAGAAGCGAGAGAGAGAGAAAAAAAAGGAGAGATGAATGGATACGAGGTACACATGCCTTCGGAGGCAGTAAAACTGATTCCGAATCAAATAGTATACGAAACTCCATATCTCACTCTTACACCCAAAAGACCAAAACTACCAACAACCACTTCCTACATACTCCAGCACCCCAACCCGAATCGTACCCCTCAACAAACAACCCCACTACGATTGCCCCAAAATCCAAATCTCCCCATTACTCGACGTATCAGACGTCATATACAACCTACCCACCCCATCCCACGCCAACCCAGCCGGGCGAAAGCACCCAGAGCTATACCCCGGCCCATTCCCCTGACACTTTTCCACCGCGGGGTTAAAAAACACATCTTGTGCCGCCGTCGTACTAGTCAGCGGTTCCACAGGCGTAATCCCGCCATCCGCACTGCGCTTAAACTTGACAGCCACAAGCTTGAACCCCGTGACGGGCTGGCGATTCCAGCTCCCATGGTACGTAACGTACATTGTCGTACTGTTGGCATCGAACTTGCAGTCGATGGGCGCGGAGTGTGGTTGTAGTGTGAGCTTTGGGGGTGTGGCTTTTTGCACGCAGGTATCGTCGTTGAGGGTGCTGCTGGGGGATTGCGTGAACCAGTCGCCGACTTTGAAGGCTTTGTCGGTGAAGTCGCTGGGTTTCCAGACGGTGAAGCAGGACGGGTAGCCGTACCACGCGTTGTTGGGGAGCGAGACGTCGCCCATGTAGTGGATTTTTTCGCCGGGGTTGTCGTTGTGGATGTCTTTGCCGTTGCGTTTGAAGTCGTCGCCGCTGTTTTCTACGCCCCAGAGCCTATTGGGGTGTTTGTGAGTTTGATATCCCATCAATAAGCTGTGTTGGTGTTGTTGTTGTTTTTTCAGGTAAAATGACTTACATGTTGTTACTGTCGAAGCAGATGCCGACTTCGTTGCGCTGTCCGTAACCGGCATTGTAACCACCACTGACGTAGTTGTATCCTCCACTGGGGACATTTGCTAGATTAAAGACTTTGATTATGGCGCGTCCTGTCTTTGGGTCTGATGTAGGTTGATCAATGTTGGAATTGGAGCCATGAGATACAACCAATAGGCTCGAATTCTGGGGTGCAATGGCAAGAGTACGTGTAAGATGTGAGCCACCATTGTACATGCCTGTGACGACAGTGGTCCGGGTTCCGAGGGTACCGGCTGCGGCATCGTATGGCCAAGCATAGACCTGGGTCATGGAGCTTGCATACAGTGTCTTACCATCGTGACTCAAGGCTATGCCGTGATTGAGGTTACTTTGCGATATCAGCATCTTTGTCGAAGTGACACAGCCATCCGCTCCCATCTTGTGATAGGATATGCCCTTGCCAGACTGTACAACGAGCATGTTACCAGCATTGTCAAACTGAATGCTTCGAGGGCTAGTCATTCCACCAGCAATCTTGGTAGCCTTCCATCCTGCTGCCAGGTTGCCTTGGAATGCAGGATTTCCGGCGCCAGAGCAGGAAGCGGGAATGGTAGCAGTTGCTACTGGCTTCGCAGTTGCAGATGGCACAATGCTTGTCACAACTGTCGTCAAGTCAGCGGAAGGACTAGCTATGGGCCCCGTCAACAGATTAGCCCGAACCAAAGAATCGAAATTATTGATCCGCGCAGCATCGAGATTGTGGATCCATTTGCCCCAGGCTTGATGGACGTTAAAGGCCGAATTGTTCCGAGCCGCATCTTCGACCGCAGAAGTACCGTACGCCCAAGCGAATTCCGTTGTGCCGGTATCGTTCAAAGAGTAGCGAGCATCTTCGCTGTTTTGCCATCCAGTGCATCCCTTGCAGAGAGCATTGACAGTCCAGTGGGTAGTATTTGTCCGGGTCCCTTTGAGGTACGTGTGTTCGGCTCCGTCGTACCCAAGGGGCAGACCGATACCACTATACTGTATTAGGGAGTGCCTATTACAACCTGTAGATTGAGACTCACAAGGCGAAACGAGATGATACCACTCCGGACTGACCGTTTGGCCAAGCAACGCTCAGCGGGTTCCAGACCATGTTTCCTCCCCATGAGAAGCCCACCCACTGATTGGTAACTGGAGCAGTAATCCTGATGATGGCATTGTATGGGTCCGTCACATTCTTGGGGAGCGCAACGCCAAAGGTCATTCCTGTCGCCGGCTCCGTGTATGAAGAGTAACTGATTTTCGTTTCTGCATCATATACAACAGTAGATTGTGCCTCACCTTCTTGAGCAAGTGCTTCTCAGTGTTAGAAAATTCCAGTTTTTGAAGCTTGCGATACTCACTGCACCCAAGAAATAAAACAGCACTTCCAATAATCTGGGTGTAGCGCATACTGGATAGACTTCTACGAATAGAGAGTTGTTTACTAAGCGTTAGCGATCACTGTCAAGAGGGTGTTTTCCAGCCCTTTATGTGATCAATAGTAATGACGGCGGTAACAACAGAGAGCCACATGATACCACGCTTCCACATCATCCGTGCGCAAATATGCCATCATTCTTTTTGTATATCATAAATGAAAATGTTGAAGACATCCACGGTGGACCTTCGACTGACCAATCTGCGGCCCCGGATCTGTGATCTATGACAACCTAGTTTCACCAGACTGGTTGATCTGGGGCGTTTGGGCGTGCTCGACAGGTTTCAGCCTGAGTATTGTGACAGAATACATCAATTCATTGGTAGCCACTGGTCTTTGGTAGTATAAAGCTGTGTGGTGCACGCTGGAGGCTATTAATTTTGATGAATCCAACCATCAGCTTGATCTGGAATCATATTTGCGCTACTCGGTATTCGTCCATACGGTCTTAATGAGCTGTGCTAAGCTTTCCAAGTCGATAAAAGAGACACGGCAGTTGACACGCGAGGCGGGGCTGTGATGCTCAATAAGTGGGGAGTTTCCATAATAGTGGCTGAACGTTGGTGTGGTGGATCTCGCATTCTTCCATATAACCCGAACCCCCTGGCTTGCACCGATTGTGGGGAACCTATCAGGATATCAACAACTCCGTAGCACATTCACAAGATCGAGAGAACCAAATCGTATCCGAGTTTGAAACTTGAGCATAAGTAGACTGTATCAATGCGGGGTGACCAGAGGGAGGAGATATTGCTGAAGCAGTACATTTGCAATTCCATTTACGGTTACGGCCTGTGGAATTTGGATATAGAACAAGAAATCCCACCGAGAATCCCGAAATCCATCGAACTTTCAACCCGAATTTCCCAGATCAAGCGCGCTTGCTTATAAAGGCATTTCCAAAAGTCCAGAGGCCAAAAGTCGCCAGAATACTCAATCCGATAGGTAGAGGCTTTCCAGACTTGATTGCGCGCGGGATAGAGCTACCAGCCAAGATGACGGAGGCGAGAAGAGCGAGTTCAACGCCATAGGCAGCGCGGCTATTGACACGAAGGCCACCGAGGATGTACTATTATGAATGTTTAGATGTTTGATTGAAAGATGAGGCCACGAGATTGGCAAGGGCAAGAGCGCGTACCAGTAAGCCGACAGTGCAACCAGCTGCGATTGAAGGCACAGATCCAGTCCTGACGTATCCGGTAATTCCACCTCCAGCGGTGAGGGTACCGAGGACCAGAGCAATGTTTCCGAGAGAGCTCTATATCTTCCCATCAGCATTTGTTTCTCTCTCAAGCACCTGACTCGTATATGACGAAGCCAAAGGAATCGCCAGAACATCTACTTACCATGATTGCTTTGTATGAACAAGAGACCGGTACGGGTGTTCCAATGAAATGGAATTGGGATAATGCAATCAGTGGATTTCGCGATGAAAGCTTCAAGGAACGCAGCGACGCTTAAGTATCAGTACAATGGGTGTTTTTGCGGGGAAAAGCGGACATCCGAGCACACCGAAGCCCGGCGCGAATGGAGCAAGGCCATTGCCCTCGTCGTAATCCCGCCCTCAGCTCGGGCCAACCACGAACATCTGGCCTCAAGCTTACCTGTGTACCACCCACCAACGACCTCCATCACCCGCAACCCATACACGCCCAATTGCACGCAATAGGGCCGCTCGTCTTTCCGCCAGACCTTCCCTTTTTCTCTCGTTTGAAAAACAACAACAAACATAGAATATAGACCATGGCACCAAAGCAACGCACACCCGGCACCGTAGACACGCCCTCGGCACCTGCACAAGCAGCATCCTCGCGCCCCAGCAAGCCAAACACGACCAACAACACGAGCGCCGCAGCAATCACACAGGGAATATGGGATAAATACGTGACCAAGACTCCGCAGCGAACAAAGCTCCTCGACATCTTCCTCGCCTTCCTCGTCGTAGTCGGCGCCCTGCAATTCGCATACGTAGTCGTTGTTGGAAACTTTGTACGTATTACCCCTTCTCCTCAGACACAGCAGTGCATGCAGAGAGCACAAATAGAATGAAAGAAAGCTGACGAGACGCAAATAGCCATTCAATGCTTTCCTATCCGGCTTCAGCGCAACAGTCGGCCAATTCGTGCTCACGGCTTCGCTGCGCATCCAGACAAACTTGGAGAACAAGGAACATTTTGCGAGTATCTCGCATGAGCGTGCGTTTGCGGATTTCGTGCTAGGGAGTCTATTGTTGCACTTTTTCTGTGTCAACTTTATTAACTAAGGGGAGAAGGAGATTATTGGATGACGGGTGGGGGGGAGAGAAAGAAGCGAAACACGATTGCACGGAGGTTTGATGAAAGATTGCGGCTCTTTATTTTTTTTAGAGAGAGAGATGAATGGGGCTTGGAAAATGGGCGTTTATGAACAAAGGGTCTATTCAAACAAGAAAAGAAGAAAAGCTCCGTGTATCGAATATATATTGTAAGAGTACCACAAAACTAACCCTCGGGGATTTCAGTTCAACAAACTGGTAGACCGGGTCAAGTCGATCAGTCTTATCAAAATGTCGAAGAAAGACTCTTTCATCTATTGCTTATGCCCCAACCAGCAAAGCACTCACACACATACACACCTTTTGCTCGCAATCTAGACTTTCAATTCGTCTGTCTTTATCTACTTCTCCTTCGCATACTCGCCCAGCCCAAACTCCTCTCTAACCGCCTCACCCAGCCTCCTAATCCCCTCATCAATCTTATCACTCGGCGCCGTCGCATACGTAGCGCGGAAAAACAGCGTATTGTGCTCTTCCTCTGCGTCGGCGTAGAACCAGCTGCCGCGCATAACCAGGGTGCCATGGCCGATGACGCGCATGAAGATGCTTTCCTCGATAGCCTCGATGCTCTTCTCGGGGTACGCGGGGTGTTTTGTGAAGTCTACTTTCATCCAGTGGAACATGCCGGCCATGGGGGGTTTCCACTGCATGACTTCTTGGGGGAGGTGCTTGGCGCAGGCGGCGAGGATGGTGTCGCGGCGCTTGGTGTACTGCATGCGGATGTGGATGAGCCAGTCGAGGTAGCCGGCGTGGCCCCAGTGCTCGTCGAGTAGCTTGAAGAGGACGAGTTGAGAGATGCCAGATGGGTTCTGCGTCGAGACGTCGGCGTATTTGGCGTAGCGCTCGATGATTTGTGCGGGCGCGGTGACCCAGCCTACGCGCGAGCCCGGGGCGATTACTTTGGAGAAGGAGTCCATGCGGATTACGCGGCCGTCGGTGTCCATGGAGAGGTAGCTGGGGACGAGGGATTTGATAAATTCGGCGTGGGAAGAAGGGGGTGGGACGTCGGGTGCATTGGGGCCCGTGTAGGGTTGCATTTGGAGAAAGTAGTAAGGTTCGTCTTCTATGATGTGGATGTCGTGCTTTTGGCACACTTTGTATAGTTCTCGGCGTCGCTCGCCGCTCGATGTTGCGCCAGTTGGGTTCTGTCCTGTAGGCACGGTGTAGAGGAGTTGTGGTTTGCGGGATCCTCGAGCGGTCTGGTCCCAGTTTGAGAGTATGCGGTCCATCTCTGTGGGCAAGAGACCTTCGCTGTCAATTGGCACGCCACATACGCGGACACCCATTGGCCTGGCGGTTTCGACAAAAGCCGAAAATGTGTACTCCTCGGAGAGAACCATGTCACCAGGTCTTGCGAGCATTCTAAGCAACATGTCGGTGGCAGATGTGCTTCCAACTGTCATTGTGCATCTCCAGTCTTCATATGGTGGGTCGTGCACCAGTTCTGTGTGCTCAGTCATGTAGCGCAGAAGCTGTGCTGAGCCTGAGCCCTGGCCATAGTTGAATGCAGTTGCAATGTCGAAAACGGACTTGTTCTCGGCAAGGTCGTGTTTGCCCGCAGTGAGCGTCACTCCAGACTCTTTGGTTTCGGGCTCGGAGAAGTGTCCGACTTTGGGCACTTTGACTGAGAGCTCCTCAAAAGGAAAGTACTCGCTAGAGGGCAGTCCTCCTCCGAGAGATATGAGACCGGGTGTACTGAGAAACTTGGCAGCTTCCTTTAGCGAGTTGCCTTTTCGAATCAGGGCCTCGTTAGTTAAAATGCCTGAGGTCAAGTAAGTCATCATGCCTGCAAGTTGCTACCTGGTCCATAAAACTTACTACTCCACGACTTTGCTTTGGGCTTGTGGTCGTGCGGTTTCAGTCTAAAGTTTGATGTGTCAGACGGTGCTGCTACGCCCCATTGTGCTGCAGTAGTCTTCTTTCTCCTTGCGGGCATCTCATTGCTCTGTATGGGCGCACTCAGAGGGTTCGGAATAGTAATTCCGGATGTGTCCGAAGTGGCGGATACCTCGACTGCAGACGGAGGTGACATTGCGTGCACGGTGCTTTTGGTTGTCCGGCTGTAATGTTTGGCTTGTAGTATGCAGTGATGTAGATGTTTATCTTGGTCCACTTGACTTCTTAATTTGTTTTGATATTGAGGCAAGTGAGTGTAAAAGTAAAGCCCAAATGTCGTGGGACGACGTAACGTTTAAAGCTCGTTCTATCGGAATTCAGATACATACTAGTTGGTCATATCGCGCGCCCTACATATGTAGTCCGACGCGTGCCTGTGGAGAAGTGGAGCCGCTCAGCTATACTTTCGGTAACGGCTAGCCACGGGCTGGGGAAGCGACACGAAGCGAGTCCACACAAGCCGCACGCCAAGCTTCTACTATCAATCTTATCATGCAAGCTTCACGCCCTTTGCTGGCGTGTCCATCTCTCAGGCCTGGACATCTCATGGGCTACTCTCGAAACGTCGGCGATGGCCCCTGTGTACCACGGGAATGCGAGCGTTGGTAACGCCGTTGCATGCATGCCGAAAGACGGCCGATGCTGTTGCAGTTCAACACTACGTAAGTTGTGAGCCATTGGCCAATCGGCGCTTTTAAGACGCCGTCACGAGACGTGACACCACGTGCGGAGACAAAGCCGGTAGCACCCGCGCTGAACGGACGATAATCTTTTCTATCCTGCCCTGGATATCTCTTTAGCATGCAGGTACTCCTAGTAGAATGCTGCGACTAGACAATACTGCACAGGTTCCTGCCAAGACTGGCGGGGTATTTTGACGCTCAGATCCAAACGCATGTAGGCAACAAACATACACCAAACTCCATAGATCCACGGCCCCCCTATCAAAACAATCAACCAACTCCATCGTCATGAAAATTAACACCTCAATGTATGCAGTCCCAAGTAAATAAATGCAAGCCGGGTATAGGACAACAGCGGCGGACACATCCTCGAGGCACTCGATGCCTTCTCACATTACCACGCAGTTCTCATCCTTCTCTTTGTCTTTTCCACCTTTTTCTTTTCGCAGCTTGGCGTTTTTGTCGGGAACATTTACTGGTGTTGAAGCCAGAGGATTCGCTTGTCCCGATGCTGCAGCTTGAATGATTGCGAGACGCTGCTTTGCCCTTTCGTCTCCTGAGTCTGCAGCCTTGACGTACCATACGTTGGCTTCCAGAGGGTCCCGACGGCAGCCGATGCCCATTTCTGTAAAGTAACCGCACGCATACTCGGCCTTTGGAAGACCTGGTATTGTTAGTCAACAAATTGTGGACGCAAGGTGACAGATTGCACACTTACCATGCTCAGCAGCCTTCTTGGCCCATTCGTATGCCTCGTTTTCGTCTTTTTCCAGGACGGGTTCAGCACCGACCATGTACCAGGCACAGAGATTCATCATGGCCTCGGGGATGTCGGCCTGGGCAGCGCAGTTGTAGTAGTGGACAGATAGTGCAGCATCCTTGGGGCATCTCAACAAGCCGTGTTCGTAGGCTTCTCCAAGCTTCAGCGCAGCCAGCGGATGGCCCAACTCTGCAGCCTGTGTGAACAGTTGCACTGCGTACACTTCGTCCTTGAAAATGTCGTCTCCGTAGCCTGTCTCGTGCAATAGACCTAGTTCGTAGGGCGCGACGTTGTACTGGAAGTCAGCTGACTCGGAGGCTCGCTTAAGCCACTTGACGCCCTCCCGGTACTTGTTCTGAAGACCCATATCGCCAGTCAAACACGCCTTTCCAAGTCGAGTGGCAGCTCCAGGATGGTTTTTGGACGCTGCAGCGCGGTAGAACTGGACAGCTTTGGCGTAATCTTTGCGACAACCCCATCCAAACTCATAGCAGAGCGCGGCACGGAACGCTGACTCCGCATGGCCGTGCTTACTGGCAGCGATGAATAGCGGAAAGGCTCGATCGTGGTCGGGCTTATCTTTGTTGAACAGACCTGATGCATATCCATCTGCGAGATAGTACTGTGCAAACGGGTAACTGCGGTCGGCTAGTTTCTGGAGAATCTGGCGCGCTTCTTTTAACAATTCTACCGACGACATGCCATGGGTATTGTTCATGCCTTCGTTTGCCATGACCTCTTGTGCGACCTGTATCATGAACAGCGCAAACTCGTACTGGACTGAGCTGTCTTGCGTCTTCTTGACGTTTGCCCTGTACATATCGAGCGTCTTTTTCTCGTCGAGCAACGAGGCATTCTCTCCCACCACACCTCGCAGTCCGGTCTTGCCGAAATTGGCAACGGGCGCAACCTGTTGGTTGTATGGGAGATTGGTCAAGTCAATGTAGGAAGATTCCGGTCGGACATCTGGTGATCGGCGTGAGGTTGAGACTTGGCGGGCATAAGAGTTGGGCGATCCGTGGGGTGAGGGCATGCCGGCCACGGACAGGCGGGGTGAATCCGTACGGCCTGGTACATTGAGTTCCGAACCTAAAGTATATGCAGAACTTGGTCTGGGGACCGTGGAGCGCGGAACTTGCAAAGGCCCTTCTTGGCCATAACTGTGACCACGGTTATGTCGAATACTGTAGCCATTTGACGAATTTTGGGAGCCAGAGGCTGGAGATTGCGTAGTTTCACGGGGAGAATGTGTGCGCGGAGGTGGAGTGGGGTGCTTGGGAATGCCTCTAGGTTGGTGTTGCTCCGTGGTGGTGTATGCAAGCTCGAGCTCGTCCCGAGCGTTTGCAGCGTCCATCTCGGCGACGTGGGAAAAGCGGGCAGAGTAGAAGCTGTTGCTTATATGCAACGGTCTGAAGGGGATGTTTTGCGTCGGTGGAACCGCGTCTGCGGAACGCCCGTTTTCGGATATGTCTGGTGATTCTCTAGACGGGGTTCTAGAATGGCCGTCTGAGCTTTGGGTCACGGAAGAGCCGGACTGTCTTGAATCACGGCCGGCAGTTATTGGATCATGGCGCTGGTCAATATTGAAAGAAGGAATAGAGGGATTACGTGAGGAAGGATGTGGATCGGGTTTGCGATACGAGGAACTAGGTGGTGGTGGATTCAAGTCTGGCTGGTGGGCGGCGTAGGGTTCTTCGTCGAGGGGGAGAGATGGCAGCGGCCTGGATGGCGGTGTCGAGAGGGGTTCGGCCATGGCTCTGAAATTGCTCCACTTGCCCCCCTTCCTCAGATCTCTCGAGATGATGTGTTATGGCCACTTGGATGCACTGACTCGCTGTAGCGGTGGGGCTCTAAAGTGGTTTCCTTAAGCGGCGCCCCAAGGTACTGACTGGCGACCAGGCAGCCAGCGCGCGCAGCGCACACAGCAAGAGAGTTTGGGCGGAAGTGAGCCAGACTTTGCTACGGGTGGTTGTCAGTGCTGTGAATGAGGCGTGGCAGCATATGTATATACATACGTATGTATGCATATGTAGGCGGACGAAAATGGGAGACGACGACGTGCGGCGGCACAGAATGCAGAACCCTGGGGAGAGGGATCTTCGAGACGGGCCCGGGGGCGGTTAGATTCACCCGTGGGCTCGCAAGCGGAATTTCAAGGGTCCAGTTAATTATTCACGCTTCTTGACACTTCTGGGACCCTGACACGGGGCGTTGCAAGATGGCGTGCAGATACGACGGTTAGTGGCAGCGCGTTTCGGCAGGCGAAGTGCAGGCCGTTTTTTTTCCTGCAAAGAAAAAAAAATTTTGACAAGGTTGGACGGGGTGGCAATTGATGTTTTAAGAAGCCCCACGCATTGCGGAAGCGTGTGTTAGGCGGCACTTTACATAAGTAGGGACAAGCAGCTGGGCGGCAGAGCACGGCTGGCTGGGCAAGCGAGGTGGTGTGTGTGACCTTGAAACGCAACCACTATCGATGTGGATGTTTGATCCGATAGGGGGTTAGGCCCTCGACTCGCCCATGCACTATTCAGCGGATGCGGAGAAACGTGACCTCTGGCAGCCAGGGCAGTGTGCATGGACGTGCCCGAAAGCAACATCAGAAGAGGTGGTGGTGTGCGTGCTTGCACTGTTATGCTGCCGAGGAAGCGAGAGTGTCGCCGAAAATATAGCAGCCAATACTATTGCGGTGTGTGTGTATATGAGAGGTGAATGTGTTGAGAAGATGCGTATACGAATAATATCCCAGAATGAATGAGTAAATGTCTGTCAGCCCCTCCCCCCTTTGCCCCGTCTGCAGCTAGCTGCTAATTATACTGAGCGCCTGAGCACGAAATCAACGCCACGGCTGAGTGCTAGCAACTAAGTAGTTGTAACGCGTGGATACCAATACTGCGGAGAGTGGACGGATGGGGAGGTTGCTGTCAGCACCTAAAATGTCATCATAGAGGCTTGTGCTGGCCTCGTCCCATGTCACGCTCGGCCAAATAGGCCAACCCCACGATAGCCACCTGTTCCGCCCACTCCGCGGCATGGCGACAGTGCACGCAAGAAAGAAAGAAGGAAAAAAATAACGTCCATGTCGAGCAGTTTGGAACACGCAGCGTCGAGAAGGGAGGCGGTCCTTAATGTGCGGCAGGGGAGCAGGACGACGAGGTTGAGCAGACATGCAGCCAGCCAGCCATGGGCGCCCGTGCCTGGCTACTGGCTGCTACTCGACCAACGGCGCCATGAGAGGGCGGCGGCATGCAATGCCTGGGCAGGGGAGCGGCGGCCGTCAGCCAGCACTGGCTGGGCGTCTGGAGCAGCAACTGTGTTAATATGTACAGAATAGTCTGCCGTAGCTGGGGGAACGGGACAAGGCTGAAAATAACTCACGGCCGCCATGCGATTCGCGCATGGGCGAGGGCCATCGAGCCACTGACAGGGGGGAACGCTCCTCGTCGCCCCATAGCCCCATCTATCAAGGGTGCTGTTGACCTCGCAACACCGCTGCCAGGGTACTGCCGCCTTTCGCTCGTTCGTCTGCTTGACCGTCTCTCGCTGTGTTTATTCGCCTATTGTTCACTCGCTCGCTCTCTCTGCCTCACCTCCCCCCCACTGGCCGACACGCTCGTTGCTGCCTCGATTGGCCGGCTGCCCTTTGCTGGACCGCCCAATCCACCACGCCCACTCTTCTCCCATCCACCGCCACCACCCCTGCACTCCGACACAGCACCGCAAACACTGCTGCTGCTGCTGGTAACCTCATAGACCCGCTGCGCCTATTCTTCCCACCCCCAACACGCGCCCCCCGCAGTCGCACTGTGTAACGACGCCTGGGTCCGCGCCTTCCTGCACCATGTCGTCCATGCCCCAGCGCCCAGAGCCCTCGTCTCCCCGGCGGGAGCGACGGCACTCACATCGAAGCTCACAATCCCGCCGCCGGAGGACGTCGGACGTCGAGAGCTCCCGCTCCCACGACCGCACACACAGCAAAAGCCATGCCACTGCCCACTCACGCCCGATGCCAACCCCAGACGCTCCTGTTCCCATGGAGCGTGACCCCATCATGCGGGGCCAGCAACACGCTCCAGGCCCAGCATTGGGCAGGAAGCGCAGCCTGATCAGACCCGAGCGCCAGCGAATGGATCCGAGTCACCCCAACTACCACTATCGCAAGCATGCCCAGCGCATGGACGTCCAACCCTCGACAACCGGCAATGATCCCATCATGGAGGACAGTCTCGAGGCCGAAACCGTAAGCTCAGACAGCACCGACCTGAAGCCACCCCATATGCGAAACGCCTCTGGCGGCGGCTACAACGACAAAGACGCTCCGCTCGACGACAATGCCGAGCCACAGGTACAGCGAAAGCTGGCGCGAAGCAAGACCATGGAGGCTCGCCAGAAACAGCGCCAGAAAGAGCAGGATAAGCTGCGGCCACCTAGTCTGTGGAATGTCTACTGCGCAATCATCACCTTTTGGTGCCCCAATGCTGTTCTCAAGTGTTTTGGAAAGCCACAAAGAGCACAGCAGCGTGCTTGGCGAGAAAAGGTTGGTTTGGTCAGCATCATTTTGGTCATCTGCACATTCGTCGGATACTTGACTTTTGGTTTTACCGAGACCGTTTGCCCCGCCGGAGGTAGCGCCCGCCTCAGGACCAACGAAGTTGGTAATGGATACCTCATCATCCATGGTGAAGCCTATGATCTTGCTCAGTCCAAACATCCCCGCGCTCGTGGTATCCCGGAAAACGCAAACGTTCTCTTCGACCTTCCCGAGAAGCACGGTGGTCAAGATGCCAGCTTCCTGTTCCAAAACGTCAACGGCGCCTGCAAGGGCCTCATCAAGGAAAAGCCCAACTCTGGTATCCCTACAGACGACAATGGAGACCTGGCCTGGTACTTCCCCTGCCGGCTGTTCAACCAGGACGGCTCCTCCAAGCCCAACACGACATTTCTGGAGTACAATGGCTACATGTGTCATACTTCGGACTCGGCTCGTAGGGCTTTCTACAGTCTGCGTGATGCTGGAGATGTCTTTTTTACCTGGGACGACATTCGCAACTCCTCGAGGAACCTCATGGTATGGGGTGGTGATGTGCTGGATCTGAATCTGCTCGATTTCTTCAACCGAACCGCAGTTGAGATTCCACCCATTTTCGATGAAATCCGCCAAAACCCAGCCGTTCGTGGTGCAGACGTCACGCGTGCTTTCTCGTCCAGCTACGAGAAGCAGGTTGCGCGATGCTTTACTGAAATCATCAAGGTCGGCTCCATTGACACGGAGAGTATTGGTTGCATCGCCTCCAAGGTTGTTCTCTACGTTTCGCTCGTTTTTATCTTGGCTGTTGTCTTAGCCAAGTTCGTCCTCGCTTTGATATTCCAATGGTTCATCAGTAAGAAGTTTGGTGCCACCAAAACATCTCTGGGCCCGGTCGACTCCAAGAAGCGAAAGCAGCAGATTGAAGAATGGAGTGATGACATTTATCGCCCCCCGCCAAAACTCCTCGAATCAGTTTCTGGCTCCGACCGTACGGCCAAACGAGGTAGTTTCTTGCCGGCCACATCAAGGTTCACTAGCCCATACTCTGTTGACAAGAACACCAAGACCCGCGCCCCACCAACAACAATGACAAGTCAAAGTGCTGCATCTCGTCTGCTTGGATCCAGCGGTCCCATGTACAAACAACTAAATGCCAGCCACGGCACACTAGGCGTCGACGGTAGACACAGCACGCAAGCATCGCAGGAGCCTGGGTCTGATATGTATTTCTCTAACAGCACCGAAACGAACCAGTTTTCCAGCACTGAAGGCTCAGGACCCTCAGGATTCACTCATGAAGCTGTTGTACCCCAACCTCCTCCCGAGTGGCAGCCTTTTGGATACCCCCTAGCTCACACAATCTGCTTGGTTACTGCATACTCTGAGGGCCCTGAAGGTCTGCGAACTACACTCGACTCTATTGCCACGACCGACTATCCCAACAGCCACAAGTTGATTCTCGTTATTTGCGATGGTATGATCAAGGGACACGGAGAAGACATGACGACACCCGAAGTCTGCCTTGGCATGATGAAGGATCACGCAGTCTTGCCGCATGAAGTCCAGGCCTACTCCTATGTCGCGGTTGCCAGTGGTTCCAAGCGACACAACATGGCTAAGATCTACTCTGGTTTCTACGACTATGGCGAGACGACGCGCATCCCTGTTGGAAAGCAACAGCGTGTTCCGATGATGCTGGTTGTCAAGTGTGGCACTCCCGACGAGGCTAAGAACTCCAAACCTGGTAACCGTGGCAAGCGCGACAGTCAAATTATTCTCATGTCATTCCTGCAAAAGGTCATGTTTGACGAGCGTATGACGGAGCTCGAGTTTGAAATGTTCAACGGTATCTGGAAAATCACTGGCATTTCTCCCGATTTCTACGAGATAGTACTCATGGTAGACGCCGATACCAAGGTATTCCCTGACAGTTTGACGCACATGATTTCGGCCATGGTAAAGGACCCAGATATCATGGGACTCTGCGGTGAGACCAAGATTGCCAACAAGCGGGACTCGTGGGTTTCTATGATTCAGGTCTTTGAGTAAGTGTTTTTCTTTCTCGTATGTTCGGGGAATACCCTGCTGAATGTGATAGGTATTTCATCTCTCACCATCTGGCCAAGTCGTTTGAGTCGGTCTTTGGTGGTGTCACTTGTCTTCCCGGATGTTTCTGCATGTACCGCATCAAGGCTCCCAAGGGCGGTCAAAACTACTGGGTCCCCATTCTGGCCAATCCTGATGTTGTCGAACACTACTCTGAGAACGTGGTGGATACGCTGCACAAGAAGAATTTGCTGCTATTGGGTGAGGACCGTTATCTGTCGACGCTGATGCTCAAGACGTTCCCCAAGCGAAAGCAGGTGTTTGTGCCTCAAGCTGTGTGCAAGACCACGGTTCCGGACGAGTTCAAAGTCTTACTGTCGCAACGTAGACGATGGATCAATAGTACTGTCCACAACCTGATGGAGTTGGTACTGGTACGAGATTTGTGCGGTACCTTCTGCTTCAGCATGCAGTTTGTCGTCTTCATCGAGCTGATGGGAACCCTGGTCCTACCCGCCGCCATTGCCTTTACATTCTACCTCAGTAAGTTTTTGGCACCTTTTTGTTCAATGACAACTTTGCTGACGGCGTCTAGTTGCCATTTCTATCAAAGCCGCTATACAGCACACAGAAGCGCCTGTGATTCCTCTGGTTCTTCTTGCGCTTATTCTCGGTCTACCTGCGGTTCTCATTATTATCACAGCACATCGTTGGTCGTATGTTGCCTGGATGTTTGTCTACCTGCTGTCGCTGCCCGTTTGGAACTTTGTCCTGCCGACGTACGCCTTCTGGAAGTTTGACGACTTCAGTTGGGGCGATACTCGAAAGACGGCTGGGGAAACGACGAAGAAGGCAGGATTGGAGTACGAGGGTGAATTTGACAGTAGCAAGATCACAATGCGCAGGTGGCGAGACTTTGAAGCAGGTAAGATAGACTTGTCGTTGAGGTGATGTTGTGACTAACGATGGACCCCTACAGAGCGGAGACTGAAGACACCAGCGGCGACATCGGCTGGCGGATGGCCACAGCACCAACAGCGACAGGGATATGACCAGTATTATGATAATTGATTGATTGTGCAGTGTCATGTAGCAGGCCAGGGAGGCGCTGTGTAGCCGATAGGGGGAGCAAGGGAAAAGTGCATTATTTTTGTACCACGTTGGCTACTACATTGTGCAGGGGGCTGTTCTTGTTTACGCGGGTTACATGTATGATTGTCAAGGGGCATGTTGTATTTTTTCGGAGATTCCCACTTTGCATTGTGCCGTCATTTATGTAGACGCTACGCATATTAGTAATACTGTACATGGGCGGCGGAGAGGCTGCCTAGAGTGAATGTAATGCCATATGATATGAAATCCTGTGTAGGGATGTGCAGTGTTGCGTTTCAGCCTTGTGCATGGTGAAGACCGTTTGGATGGCGCCGTCAGACGCCTTGTGGCGGCTTTTCTGTCGTAGTCGGGCAACGCTCTTGCCCACCACTCACACGCCGTCAGGCAGATTGGTCCGAGGGGTTTGCAGTGCAACCGTCTGGCAGCAGTGGTGGCGTCACCTTCCTGGCCCCAAGGGACTAGGCCGACGCAGGGTAGTGTGCTGCCTGCATCCCAAAAGAGGCCTGACAAGACCAAGTGCCTGTGTGATTGTGCAACGACGAGTGGGCAGTGCATTCTCGTTGTTGTCGTGTTGGCAGTGCCATGCGAGTTGTGCTACGGTGCGTGGGGCACGTCGGCGACCACTTTTGCCCATGGGGGGGGCCATGTGTAGAGTGGAGGCAGAGGGACGATAATGGGTTATGTATGACAGACAGCGGTGCATGGTGGCAGCCACAGCGACCCCACACGCTAGACTCGCTGTCTTTTGTCGTGGCTGGTTGACGCTGCCGAGCCCGAGGCCCTGTATGCGAAGGCCTGGTCGTCTCTCTCCTTCTTCCCCACACCCTTGGACACTGTCTCTACAGACCAGCATACCCACATTGCGCCCAGCCGCCTGTTGAAGACGACTGCACCGGTTACACCGCGCCCATCGCAGCCCACAGTCGCCTTCCATCACTGCCTCGGCGGCCCCGCGACACCGGCAATACGGCCGACAGCGGGCGTCGATGGCCAGCACGCAAGCCCACCACGACTGGACCGCGCCACACTTCACCACGACAGATGCCACAACGCCGCCCCATATCCACCCAGCCCCTGGCGACTGTCCTCACTCGCCCGATGCCCTGGCTGCTGCAGTGACCCTGGCGACACTGTCAGACAACAGTCCGCCCACCAGTCATGCTGACCATGCCGACGACAACCACAACGACGACGCCGACGACGATGACGATGGTTATGGCGGAGGGATATCGCTAGCAGACTACCAGCAATTTATGGAAGACATGCCCCCACCACAGGGCGCCCTCGGGCCAGACGAAGAACAGGGCCAGGACGATGCCGCGGTCGAAATGCACATGCAAACATTCCTATCCCAGGTCCACCCCGCCTACGTCGCATACCACCCCTTTGAGATATTCGACGTATCCAGCACACCTCACAACACTTCCACTACCCACATTCCTGCACCCCCAATCTACATGAGCCATGTGTCCAGTGGAGACCCTGCACTTGAGCCACCACCCACGCTCAACGAACCACATCTGAGCATTCAGGACAAGGGCGCATTTTGTCCCATCACCTCCTACTTCCACCACTACTTCAACCCAGACAAGGCCATCGTTCCCGGACTCGACCTTATCCACGTTCCAAACACAGTCGCCCGTGACGACCTCAAATGCGACCACTACGACTACCAAGGCATCGACTGGGAGGTGCGCAAGACTACGCGCTCGGCTGTACGAGAGTCGCGATTTGAATTCGAGAGTGAGAAGCTGTCGCCTGGTTTGAAGCAAGTCCGAAAGGTACCAGAGCTCCTTTGTGCTTTGTGGTTTTACCTAACACATTTTAGAGCATAGCTCCTACCCCAAACACAGACGTCTTCTTCAACTTCGCCAGAATCAACACCACTCCCCGCGTCTTTGTTCCTCATTTCCAGTTACGGAACGTCCTGACAGCCACATCCCATAATGACATCTACTATGCCTATGGCCACCGCGTCTACCGTACAGACGCCCAAGGGGCCCCTGCCGATGTCGTCGTAGACCTTAGCAAGCGCATAGCTATTGATGGCTCAGTGACCACCATTGCTTCTCGAGACAACGTCCTGATTGCTGGCGCCTTCGAGGGTGAGTATGCAATCACGGACCTCTCATCTACCTACGGATCATCATGCACATTTGGCCGCACCACAGATTTTGTAACCGACACCAAATCGCGCATAGTCAACCACATGCACCTCTTTGATTCGCGGTGGACCTACTCTCCACAGGCTGTCTTGTGTTCCAATGACCATCACCTCCGCATTCTGGACTGCGCCACAAATACATTTACCAACACCTTTGTCTACTCGGCAGCCGTCAACTGCTCAGCCACTTCGCCCAACGGACGGCTGCGAGTCGTGGTGGGGGATTTCCAGGAAACTCTCATCACCAACGCCGAGACAGGCGAAGCATTCGAAACACTGAACACGCACGCAGACGACGCATTTGCATGTGCCTGGGCAGACGATGGCATCCACGTTGCAACAGCCGCCCAGGATTCGACCATTGTCGTCTGGGACGCACGCTACTGGCGCGAACCCTTGGCCGTCATGAAGAGCGAACTCGCCGTCCCACGCTCTTTGCACTTTTCGCCCCTGGGCTCAGGTCCCCGCGTACTCGTCGCCGCCGAAGCAGACGACTACATCAACATCATCAACGCGCAAACCTGGGAGTCAAAGCAGGTCTTTGACTTTTTCGGTCCCGTCGGCGGTGCAGCGTTTACCCCAGATGGCCAATCCCTCTTCATTGCCAACGGCGAGAAGCGCTTCGGCGGCATCATCGAGCTTGAGCGAGCGGGCTGGCCCGACGCATCCGCCAGGCGTAATAGCCTCGACCACGAAATCTGGGACGACATCGCTACCGATTGGGCACACGACGATGTGCTGAGTCAGGCTTGCGGCAAAGTTCATGGCGGAGATGTGGCGCGTCGACGGCGAAACGTCGATTTAAGTAACGTCGTTGTTTAACGGTGACTTTTTTTTGTAGATGAAAAAAATTTGGATCACACTTTTGGTATATGAAGGGGGAGAGGCCAATATGCAAATGGTATAGGATTTTCTCTTTTTTCTTTTCTCCAGTCAGCTACAGTGTTGTGTAGTAGTTTGATACCTACCCATTCTTTCTGAGCGGGGGGAGGTAAATCCCCCCTTGGCCTTTTTTTTTCGTTGTTGTTGCTGGAGATTGGAACTACTACCACGTAAGGACGAAGCATTCTCTACACCTTTCGTTGTTATTGTTGTTGTTTTTCCTCTTCGTTTTCCCCTTCCCTTGGCAAACACGTTTCATGCCGTTACATTATTATTTTTTTTCCTTCTTTTCTTTTCTCGGATTTCTTTCTTGCTTGCGTTATGCAAAGGCATATGGCAAATGGCATTTTGAGAGGAAAAACATAGGGGTGGATGATACCATGATGGGCATTTAGGGGCATTTTGAATCACATTTAGACTTTTTTTTCCCTTTACTTTTTCTGTCCTCTTTGAACAAATCTGTCGTTTTTCTAGGCTTCTCATTCTTTGCTTCGTACACATGTCACATCGAAAAAAAAGTGGGCGATATGCTGTACTTTCCCCGATGTGATATATTTCCTTGTTTTCTTTTGTGCATTTCATGTTACGAATTAAATTTTGCGAGTTTTCTCTTTCTCTTTCCCTTTCCCAAACTTCCCCCTTCAACATATCTTTGCATCATCGGCATCGTTCATCCCAGCCTTTGCCTAGCAAAATTTTTCCTCATATCCTTTCTACAAAAAGACTCTGTGTATGATCGCCTCAACGCCTTCGAATCATGTGATAGGACCAAAACCCTCAACGCCGTCAAATGCACAGTTCCGCCATTTGGAGTAGAGCCTTAGACGAGCAAAACAGCGTTCAAGCACCCGTCATTTTCAGGGTTGTTGGTGATTCTGTTGGTCCATGTGTTAGTCGTTTGGCTCCTGGGTAAATATCAATTCATGGGCATCAACGTACTGAGCATAGCGACCCCAAACAACCTTTCCTCCAGCAGTCACAAGTCCGAGTTCGGAGACATTTACTTCAATGATAGTACCCTTTGTCAACTGATAATCGTTAGCATCAAGTGGTTCGCGAACAGGAGTCTGAGAAAACATACCACACCCAACTGAGTGTACAGTGGCTGCTGTGGGTTCTTCTTGACCGAACTGTGATGGTGTTAGCATGTTGTCTTCCTTTTACATGGTTTCAAAATGACATACATAATTGGCAGCTGGACTGTTACGTTGAGTTCAGGGTGCGTGACGTTCGCCTTCTTGTAACGCAATCCCATAGGTCTGATGAAGCGCTGGATCCACTGTCAGTATGCGTTCTGTGCACTGAGCTATAGCTGTACGAACCTCGTATTTGACAGGTCGACGAGTGAAGCCAGGACCGACAAAAGTAGGCTTGGTGATCATTCGCTTCCAAGACTTCTTCTTCGTCTTCTTACCCGTCTTGACAACACTGAACATCTAGAGAGGCACAAAGTTAGCGCATGTCCCGCACAAAACCCGTGCAATTGGCGCTTCTTACCTCCTCCTCAGAGATACCCTTGACCTTTGGAAGTGGTACAGAAAATCTGGCAGCCTTCTCATTTCCTAGAACACAGCATCAGCACGTGCAGATAATTAGTGCACATGATTTACTAACGCTTTTGCTTAATGGCAGAGGACAAAGCCTTGGCATTCTTTTCGTTGGAGCGGTCCAAGAGGTAGGAAGGCAGTGCCTCGGTAGCAGGCTCGGGAGCTTCGTTCGACTTGACGTTTCGCTCCTCGTGGGCGCGAATCTTCTGCTTCATCTGAATCTTCTCCTTCCTACGCTTCTCGGCATATTGCTTCGCCCTCAATCCACGCAGGTTCTGGGCCTTCTTGGACGCATTGTGGCCCTCACGAGCTTCCTTCTTTCGTTGGCGTTCATCGTGATCGAAGCGCTTTCCGTGCCTAGGATGGGGCTGTTAGCCAGATTCTTCATTTGCCAGGTGGTGCAGCCTCGGTATTTGCGATGCGCGAAGCGTCTGCGGGTGGGTGGCAACATGGGCAGCGGGCACAAACGTACTGCTTCGTAAAGCGCTCAATGTACTCGTTCTGAGGCATGGTGACTACCTCTCTGTGCTAGGTGTGGTAGGGTAGTGGTGGAGTGGAGTAAGTCGCCCTACAACAGCGAGCGCAACTTGCCTCTCCAAAAAAATCGGCGCTAGCCCCCACTAGCGCGCAGCCATGCGGGAATCTTCAACATCGGACCTCCGCAACCACCAAGATTCTATCAAACCCCCCGGCAGTCTGCCAGCCATTGCGACTCGCACAAAACGCAACAATGGCGCTGCTCGCTCGCACCGCTCGCAATGCTCTCCTCGAGTCGAGGTCGATAATACAGCCCACGATTTTCCGCGCAGGAGTAACAACAATATCGCACAACCTCGACACATCAAATACACCAGAGCCGCTTATCCAATCCGGCCACCGCATATCACAGGAAGCCAAGGAGCGCTCGAAAACCCCTCAACCTCTGCCAGCAAATGCCTCTAAACCTGCTACCTCTGAAAATATCAAAGCGTCGCCACATGCTCGATCAGACATTGTCTCAACGACACTCACACCCTCCATCCGAACACTCCTCCCGCTCCTGCAAATGCAACCAGCACACTATATAACCGCACATCTCCACGGAAGACCCTATCTCCTAACTCGTGGCGACACCCTTCGTCTTCCTTTCCAAATGCCGAACGTCCGCCCTGGTGATATCCTGCGTCTTAACCGCGCCACACACATTGGTTCACGAGACTACACATTAAAAGCGCCAGAGGCCGTCAAGGGGACCTCGGACCACGGGAAAAAAGTGTACTATTTGGATGAACGGTTATTCACTTGCAGAGCGCGCGTTGTCGGCGTCGAGAGCGAGCCATTGCGGGTTGAGGAAAAGACCAAGAGGCGGCGGAGACATGTCAAGCATGTAAAGAGCAAATTGCACTTTACAGTGCTGAAGGTTAGTGAGTTGGAGGTTAAGAGTCTGGAGGAGTATGAGGCAGCGTTGGCGCAAGAGGGCGGAGAACAGAGTGTACAATAGTGGTATGAGGGGAGGGGTATGCATTGGAAGATGCAAGGTCGCAATGCCTTGACGACGAATCCTTGATTATGTACATGTATCGATAGTCAACTCGAACAAATCTACAACAACCAACTCAATGGAGAAACCCTTGGAATGCACGCACGCAGAGAGTTTTCAATACCTTTTGATATATCCTGGAATGTTGGGTCTGCAAAACGACATGTGGGCAAGACTAGAGTAGTGCCGTTCAAGAGAAGAAAACACATAAGATTCGCACTTGATAAGTCTGAATCCTATGTTCTGTATCGTAACCAGTTATACAGTTGGGTATTGTGTGATCCCCGTACACCAATTATGCTTCAATAACCTCTGACTGAGTTCGCTATTCGCTAGACCATTGCTTTTAATGTACCACCTGCGCCGCATAGAAGTCTGGGTGTTGATTCTGGATCATCGATGTGACCTTTTCTACCTCCTCTGCCAATCCGGTCACATTGGCGTCCCATTTGCGCAGCTCCTTACCCACTACTCGCTCCGCATGGCCCGTCTTGCGCTCTCCGCTTGCCTCTCCCTCGAAGAAGACATAACGGTCTATTTGATCAATGTACCCAGCCAGACGACCTTGCTCCAACATTTTGGCTGCGTAGTCCTCGGCCTTTTCTGCGTCAATGCCTAACAGCTCACCAAGCTGGTCGAATCCGATGTTGTTGTATAGTTTTGATGCGCCGACTAGGTTGTGTTCAAGGATAGCCTTGTCCAATACTGTCAAGCCATCTGAGCCTCGTGCAAGGTGGTGCGGATCCAGCTTGGCAGAGAAGGCTTTGATTTCAGCAGGCGTAAGCAGACGATTCAAGAAAATCTTCTCCAGGATTGCGAAGTCATCCGCAGAACTGGCTCGGTCGTCTTTGTATAGCTTGGCCAACATCTTCCCTCGCTGAGGACCTGCTGGTGCGAGGACTGTACATATAATGGCCCGTCCAAGGAATCCATCTCGCTCCTCACTGTCCACCAGGGGCTCATTGCTTATGCCGTAGTACGCTTGCGCAGCGTCCAGGAAGGAGCGTTGCGAATCGAGAATACGGGCTTGACTAAGGTGGAACATGACCTTAGTCGCCTTATCTTGGACACTGAAGATAATGTTCTTGATCTTGTTAAGATGAGTGTACGCGCTCGTCGGGTCATCCTCTTCCAGATAGCACCGCACTATGCGGATCCATACTTTGGCCTTTTCATCAGGAGTGACGGACTTCTGGGTGGATTCCAGGTTGATGGTAGCTAGTGTCTGTGCAGACCGCCTGTAATCCTCGTTCTCTTCAAAAGCATCTGCTAGTGCTTGCTTGATCTGTGTATCCTGCTCTTCGTATTGCCCCGCACCCTTGGACTGTAGCAGTGTAACAACCCTTTCACCGATCTCTATCTTGGCATCTGGATCCTTGAGTGTCCGGAAGGCATCCACGAAGGCAGCAAGAAGTGGTCGGAGCACGACTATGCCGAGTGAGTCGTCAAGGAGAGTTTGTGCATATGCTTTTAGGTCGGCAGCCACATTGGCCGAAGAATCGATAATCTGCTGAAGCAGAGCGGTGTATTGGGAAGGCTTGTCGCTAACAGGCGCTGTCTCAATCTCCTGCAAAGCAGTGGTGACAGCTTGCGAAGCCATGACTTTGGGAGGGGCAAACGGAAACAATTGCGGGGAGTTGGCTCACTTGACCGTGGATGGGCGGTAAATTTATGGGTTTAATTCAAATAATACCACCCGATATAAGAGAATCTGTTCAATGGTCTTACGAGAGAAGGTCAGGATTACGCTCACAGTGTGAGTGGTAGGCAACAGACGTGGGGCAGCTGGGGCAAGCGCGAGGCTGCGCGACAGCTCCGCATTATCGATAACGGTCTTGGCACGCTAATGCGAGCGCGCGCCGGGAACAACCAACAATGGACAGCCTGCTGCCTTTCATCATCGCACTTACATCTAACCCTCCCTTCGTCGCCCTTGTGCCACGTCTTTATTCTTTCCCTTTTCCAGCACCATCACGGTCTCTACCTCTGCCCGGAAAGTCAGGAACCCGCTCGCTACCCACTATTGCCACAATCTCTCTCTCACACGTCGCCATGAACGGCATCAAGGCAGACCCCGATGTTAAGATGGACCCAGACGCATCTACCCCAGGCGGTGGCTTTATGGACGATGAGTTCTATGAGGATACTGGCGAGATGATCATGAGCAAGGACAGCTCAGACAAGGACATCTGGCTCACGCGCATCCCGCCGTGGTTGTATGAAGCAGTTTCAAAGTGGGACGATCTCGCCGATGGAAACGACAACGATCAGATACAAATCGGAGAAGTTTACGGATTTGCGACAACAAGCGGCATCGATAAAACGAAGCCCATGCGTGTCTTCCTCAACGACCGCTGGCGCGCAAAGTCAAACCTGCCCTCTGCCTTCCAGCTCGATCCTGCGCCAGCCACCGACACAATACTCGGAAACACATATGTTTTCACAGAAAAGGATCTTCCGGGCTTTCGGGGTCATGGCTATGGTAGAGGGGGGAACCAAGGGAGCTTTGGCGGTGTGCAAGATCCCAAGGCGCGCGTTCAAAAGCGAAGCAAGTACAAAAAGGCTATTCCTAAGCAGACCGCCTTGATTGGTCACGCGACGCGACAGTACAATGCCAACCCTTTGGAAACCAAAGAATACAAAGATTTCAGCGCCGCACGCATCAAGCAAGCCATTCAAGGCTCTCACATGACCACCATAATTACCAAGGATACGGAAGTCTCAGATGTAAACAATTCCATCATGCTCAACAACCGGTTCAAGAACTTCATCAGACCTACGACCAAAGGAAAATCGCAACAGAACAAGGCTGCTCGTATGGCTAGGTCGGATCTCATCGATTTCTTGCATACTCTATTCGACGAGTATCAGTACTGGCCTATGAAGGCTATCAAGCAGCGCACCAAACAGCCGGAGCAATACCTCAAAGAGGTGCTTGGCGACATTGCACTGCTTGTCAAGTCTGGCCCCTTTGCAAGTAACTGGAAGCGCCAAGCCGTTTTTGAAAATCAGCGTGATACCAGTAAACAAGCCGAGGCAGCTGCTCCAGAGGGCCCTGGTGATGGAGATTCAGAGGGTGAAGATGAGATGGAGGATGTGGTCTAGAAGACAGGCCCAAAACCTCCAAAACCTCTACATGTGAGGATTAAGATGCTGGCCAAGGATCTGAAAACTGCTTTAGCGATACCCGACTTACACAGAAAAATGCGTAGGTGAAAAATTGGTATTTAATTTAAAAACGAGAGGTTTTCTGCGTTTTCTTCTATTTTCTCTGCTAGAAACTATGGGGGAAGTATTTTTGGACTATTTGTATTATAAAGCATGCGCTTCTTGCGGCTCGTAGCCAATATATACTATAATGAACTTACATAGTCAAAGTGTAGTGAAGCACTTCAAGACTAGATACAGTTTGATCGCCAGCTGTCATGATGACGCTAAACCTTTCATGACTCGTATCAGCTAAGCCGAAAAGTATACCGCAACAAGCAAGCCGGCCCACTTCCTTGCACTTCGGCCATACGTACGTATGTTCAATCTGTATAAGAACACTTACACTCATCCGTTCCCACACCCCTTATCTAGCTTACTCATTGCATTCACTGTGTATATCGACTAGGTAATAACAGTAGTCAATTGGCTGTTCTGGGAAGAGAAAATAGAGGCGCAATGGCGCAGCAACAACAGCGGAGCCACTGGCTAGACAAGTATGCAAACAACCATGCTGTTTGGAAGGAATCAATTGCCCCCAATGGGAATCAAGCGTTCCAGCGTCCCCTGGGATTAGTGGAAACCTCTTTTGATGCTGATGGCACATACTATGGCGGTCGGGCAGGTATGTATGTGAGCTTTCTGTGCAATCTCCAACTTCATTTTGCTCTGTTCCAGACTATGCGGAATACTTTTAGTGGTATTTCTGAACCAAATCAGTCACGATATCAACTAACCGTCTCGTAGACATGACTAGTTTATTTACCTTAGCCGTTCAGCACAAACTCTCAAAGGATGAACTCCGGCATAGGATAGCCTTAGCATGGACTTCCCTTCGCCTACAGCACCCTCTTCTTCTGGCACGTGTCCATGACGACCCGGATACAGGAATGCGTGGCTTTGCAGTGGATATCCCCTCTACACAGGACGCTGCTATCCAGGCTGTCAATGACAACATCGTTTGGATCGAGGATGCATATGACGAAGTCAATGACAAAGAAATCTACCACCACGCCTTCAATGTGACAAGAATCATTGAGCCCAGGAAATGCCTCTCGAAAATACATGTTCTACCAATTACACGCCTTCCTAACGGGACATACTCTCTTCGACTCCTTATTGTAATTGCGCACCAAATATCTGATGGCTTGTCGGCGTACAACTGGTTCAGTCACTTCAATCGCATTATGAACCAGTCGCCTCACGAGCTTTTAGCAGATATCGAGACATTCCGCAAAGCAGATAATATAAAGGCCATTCTACCAGAAGCCCAAGAAGACCTGTATCCACCCATTGTTGGGAACAAAGCAAGGCAACGCTGGTTCTGGGCCTTGATCCGCGTGTTGCGCCATGTACACAAAGGCTTACCAACGACATTTACGAACCCGCTTCGTCGCGAACGGAGACTGGAAGTGCCAATGCCATTGGAGCCAAAATTTGACAAGATCTTTGACTACAGTGCTTCATCACGACCACCAATGTCATGCGGACACATCAACGCCGCGCTCTCCGCTTCTGCATCCTCCCGCCTCATATCGCTCTGCCGTTCCGCACAAGTCTCCATAGGCGCCGGCTGCTTTGCTCTCGCAGGTCTAGCCATGATGTCGATCCACGAATCCCTCAATCCTTCATCCCAACAACCCCCCTTCACAGCATCCTTCCCACTAAACCCGCGCGCCTGGTTTGTCAACCCCCCACCTCCAGAATCATGCATGCTGGCTTTCAGCGAAGGCATCGTCATGCCCTTTCTCTCCTCGGAACTCCCAATCGAAGGCAGATTCAAATTAGTAGCCAAGCACGCAAACCGCGAACTAAAGGGTTACCAGAAGCGGCTCAGGGGAAAAGGTACGGCCGGACCGGCGGGTATACTGGACAAACACTCTCCAGCCCGCCTTCTTGCAACGGGATATGTTGCGCAAATCGAGATTATCCAAGGTAAATTGCCGCCTGAACGACGTTCCTCGTCTTACAGCAACCCGCAAGGCTCGCTTCTGCCCAATATGGCAGGATTCAGAGCGACGTGCGGTGTTTCTTCTGTAGGATCTCTTGCGACATTTTTCAAGCCTGGGGCGTATAATCTTCAAGATCTGGGGGACAGGGATTTCGCAGCGGATTTCCGAAATGTGAATATAGGTGTTAGGGCGAGGGAGAATGAGTTTTTGGTGGGAAGTTTGACTACTGCTGAGGGCATTGTGGCATTTGGAGTGAGTTATGATTTGAATGCTATTAGTCAAGAGAGGGCGGAGTTGTGGAAGATGACGATTGAGAGTTTGTTGGAGGTCGGAGGGCAGGCGAAGTTGTAAGAGAATGTGGCGCAAGGTAAGAAATAAAATTGTGGTGTTCAATTTTTTTATAAATCGGATCAGAAAGCAGGTTTCCAATGGTAAAAGTATTTATTAGTTTAAAAAAATACATCTTGAGAGAATCTTGTAATTTGTGGAAAAAAAAACAGAAGCACAGAGTTATGACCTTGATATACGTCGATAGGGTATTCTAACGACATTTAGAGTTGTATTCATCGGGAAATTCGCACTGGCGACCTAGTCTCCCTGCTACGTGTCTGAATCTGCCTCAACAGTAAACAATATATATGAGTGCTATTGCCCATCTGCATATGAATTGGCAAAAACACTAGATAATTCGTACTTTTGATTTTGTACATCCGGAACCATAATCCACAGCTGTGGTAGATTCCATGGCACAAACGCTTTACATGCGAGTGGCCGAGTCCCATAACCCCAACGCCTTGCTAAGTACGATGCAAATCCGCCGACACGGCCGCTCCAGTTGGGCTCATGAAAACCCCTGAAGTGGTTTTAGGTATTCATGTCCTGGCAACGGCGCTGTCAAGGCGTCTTATAATCTCGTTATGTGAGTGTTGTGATTATGCCTGTTATAGCAGTCTCAGCGTCCTCCGGCTCCTTGTGCGCCATGGTCATCCAAGAACGATGAGGTATATTATCATAAGGGTGTTGATGAACATTAACGGTACTACATGGCGGTCAGTCTATATGTCCTGAACATTTTTCAGGGAAACCATGAGTGTTGCGTGTGGGGAGCATGGCTGCCAGCGGCTGACGGAGGGGTAGACATACTCCGCATCAATGTTCGTACAGAGGAGACAAGGTTGATCAATCGTGCCTTGACACTCGAGTCATCGCGCTGGCCAGGGAAGCCAGGATCTGCCGATGCTGTCCAACCAACTGTCTATGGTCAGTATACGTGTGTCCCAAATAAATTGATATAGCCGGTGCGCGTGCGGGAGGATACAAGGAGGGATGGTGGGCGTCGAATCGGATCAAACGTACTGCGTGCGAGAAAGCGGTCTTCGGAGAGGATGGCGATAGCATTGATGAGGAGTACGGCAACTAGATGTGTTAGCGACTTGGTCTGTCCAATGCGACTTGACGAGGAATACCGTAGAACAGCCCTCCCAGCCCGAAGAAAAACATATCTAAGGTCTGATTTGAGTGATCCTGCCGGTTGGCGTGACGTTTGTAAAAGCAGCACTAGGAACGAGGATTAGAGCGGTGGTGTTGCTGCGGCTGCATGTGAGAAAGACAGTTGTCGTTCGCCAGGGTCAAGCATCATAACGTGTTCTATCAGTAAGCTGGAAACATCAGTAAGCTGAACGCCCCACCCAACCCGACCCAACGCTCTG